AGAAATAGCTAATATAGATGACAGGTTGATGGGTGCAACCAACCACCATGGCATGTGTATAACTATGTAATAAACCTGCACACACTGTACATATGTCCCAGAACTTAATGTATAATATAAAAAAAGAAAAAGAAAATAACAGAAACATTATAAAAGTCTAGATAACAAGGGTGTGAAATCTTTGAGATGAGTGACTGTGTTTAAGCATCTTAAGTCCTTATATTATTCAGGAGGCACATAAAGATACGGATTATTGTTAGATTTTTGTATTTTTTTTACATTTAAGCATGTTAAAATTTTAAGGACACTACTTGAAGACTAGAAATAAAATATATGTCTTCCAAATAGCTTTGGGGAAAAAAATAAAATGAAAAAAAAATTAATTCAGAAGACCAGAAAAAAGAAAGCTGAAATTTAGAGAAAAAAAAACTTGGACAATATAAGAGGCTATCTATATAACAAATCGCAGTGAATTTTGAAATCATAGATTATCTGTTTTTATTAAAAAATTACCTATATACATTTTACAAGTAAAATTTAGTGTAATTTTTATAACCTGACTCACCTGTGATAAACTACCCTAAAATATCCATATTTTCTGTGTTCTTAAAGTGCTGAATAAGATAGAAATTCATAGATGTCTGAGCCAACAAATGTCACACAAGTCAGAATTAATTTGTCTCCAAGGTACTTGGAGACCTTCAGAGGCATGTTTATATTTTATTAGTCACACCCTCAGGGCTGTGAGGTATTTTAAACCAGCCTTGGAGTTCTTTGAGGAGTCTCTCTGGAGTCTATAAAATTTACCACATGACCAAGTACCAAGCATTTTACCATTGGAGTCTCACAAACCTTGGCATAGGACTTCAGCCTTTGAGACATCATTCTGGGACCTTTTCAGAGAGTAGAATTTTTTGGACAGTCTAAAGGCTGATGCTGCTAAAATCTGATTCCACATTTTCCTGTCTATGCTGACATTTAGTTATGTCGATTCATAATGTCAGGTCCAATCTTATTATATAGGCTGGTTATCAGCTGTCTAGGGCAGAGAACTACACTGGCATTAAAGTGCCAGGTGACTATTGATGTTGGCAGAAAAATAATTCTATTTGAAAAGACCACAAAAAAGAAAATAGAGTTAAAATGAAAACTTTAAAACATAGGAGTTGTTATACCATTGCTTCTTTTAAAGAAAATGACATTATAAGAAAAAGTCTGAAACTTAGGAATCATACTGTGCTTCTTTTCTTCCCTAGAAACTAGCAGGGCTAGCTCTATGCCTAGGCAGATGTGAAAAACAGAAAACAGCTTCCCGTTTCTCCAAAAATATTATTCTACAGCCTTCCACTCTGATGATCTCACAATAGGCAATTGCAATTAAATTTTTTAAATTATAATTTTATCAAAGTAAAGCATGCATTGAGTTTTTTGTTTTCCTTAGAACATATAAGAAAGAATAGCACTCCCTAATCCCTCAGTTGGACATCTCAGAAGCAACTTCTTCATTTCTTTTAGTTACTTCTTCTGATGATCATCCACACAATTTTAAATACCACTTTCACTTTGATTTTTTCCCATATTAGGCATTGCTGAGTAACTGGTATGAAAGAGGAGTATTTGCAACTCTTATGAGACTATCCCACCCCTCCATGCCCTCCTTCCTTCATACTTTCTATATGCTTACATAATATATTTTAAATAAGATCAATAATCAGTGTTACATTTTTTTTGTTGCTTTGTTTTTTGAGACAGAGTTTTGCTCTTGTTGCCCAGGCTGGAGTGCAGTGGCGCAATCTGAGCTCACCATAACCTTCCCTTCCTAGGTTAAAGTGAATCTCCTGCCTCAGCCTCCTAAGTAGCTTAGATTACAGGCATGCACCACCACATCTGGATAATTTTTTTCTTTTTTTGTATTTTTAGTAGAGATAAGGTTTCTCCCTGTTGGTCAGGTTGGTCTCACAAACTCCTGACCTCAGGTGATTCATCTCCTTGGCCTCTCAAGGGGCTGGGATTACAGCTGTGAGTCACTGTGGCTGGCCCAGTGTTATATTTTTATGGCTATGAAGTTATTATTTGCTGCTGAGTGAAATCTTATTTTATGGTTGTATTTTTTAAAAGAAGGAAACTGTATGTTTCCCTTGGTGTTCATTTGCTTCATTTTTTTGATAAGTATTAAACAATGTTTACCATCACAAATTTTTCTCAAACTTGTCAAAGAACTATAAAATCTGTGATTATATTTGGTACCATTTTCCACATGATAAAACATAGCAGGTACTCTATTATTTCCAATTTGATTCCCCCTGGAGACATTTATTTTATCTTCCCATCCTTCTCTTACAGTCTGGATGGTTTGATCTGGCCTATTGCAAAGATGGCGTACTGAGACTCCCTTTAGTTCCACTCTTGTATGAGATGCCCTACATCTAAGATTTACTGTTGGTGTTCTTCTTAACTCTTATTTTTTACAACACATCATTCAGCAGCTTCCTGAGAAACAGTGCATGGGGATTGTCAAGTAATACTTTTGAGACTTTGAATGTCTAAAAATGTCATCTTTAATTACCTTTATATTTTAGACAGGTTAGCTGGATATGACTCCATATCCATGAGTACATGAAGGCACAGCTCCACTGTCTTTTGGCTTCCAATGTCTTAGACAAGAAGTATAATGTCATTCTGATTCTTCGTTCTTTAAATGCAACCATGCTTTTCTCTCTGGAAACTTTTTGGATCTTATTTTTAAAATTTATCTAGTTTTGGTGTTTTAAAAATCATACAGACATATTTCAGTTGGGTGCTTCCTTATTTTTCTGGCTTCATTATTTCAGTTAAAGAAATTATTTTGTATTTGTTTATTGGCTAAATCTCTTCTCCTTTGTTTTCTTCTTCTCTTTTTCTGTTTGACTTATTATTTGAATGCAGGATTTCAAATTAATCATATAACTTTCTAAAATTTTTCTTTCCTGTTTTCTATCTATTTTTCTTCAGTTCCAGTTTCTGGGACATATTCTGCAATTTCTTTTCCAACCCTTCTGATATTTTGTATTTTTTTCTACTCTATATTTAAATTACAGGATTTCTTAATTGTGTCTTTTTATTGTCAATATATTCTCTTAGCTCTTCAATAACATAAAGGTTTTTAAATTTTTTTCAACTTTGTGCATCATCTCATTTTTACTGAATTTTATTCCTTTTTATGTTTGTATTGGTTTTTGTTTTTCATGTTAAAAATTTTCCTCAAATGCCTATGACTTATAGGATGACAGTTTGTACTAAGACACTATTTGAAATATGTGTATACAGTCAGGACATATCTACCAGGAATTCATGTGAGTTTTATAGCAGAAGCCCAGCTGTTTCAGGAGAATTTTCTTAAATGTCAGTATATGCAAATCTTGCCCTCATCCTCCACTCAGTCTTTTTATATCTCAAGAGAAGAATTTTCCAGTCTCTAGCCTTGGGGAATATGCCTAGTTGCCTGCATTCTTGGAGCTGAGTCATGGAAAAGTGGTGGGTGTTTCAATATTCAGTATATAGAATTTTAAATTCTATTTTTTGATTTACATACACTAGGGTCATTTTTTTTGGTTTATAATTTTGGCAAACGTAGGGTCACAAACCATCACTACAGTCAAGAAATAAAATAGTGTCATTATACCTCCAAATACCCTCATGTTTTCAACTTCTCCTCCAAGCCCTAATCACTGTAACCACTATTTTTATTGTCCCTAAGGTTTTGCTCTTGCAGAATATCACACAAATGCAATAATTTACTTTTTTGTGTCTAGTTACTTTCGCTTGGCATAATGCATTTGAGATGCATCCTTTCTATTTTATATACCAACAGTTCATTCTTTTTTTGTTGTCATTGAATAACATGTCATTGTTGTCATTAGTTATCAGTAACATGTTTTGTTGTCATTGAATAACATGTCATTGTTGTCATTAGTAGTCCATTACCTGAAGGTATCACTGGTTGCTCATCTGTTCCCCTGTTGAAGAACACGTGGCTTGGTTCCAGTTTTTGGTGATTATGAATACAACTACCATAAATACTGGCATACCGATATCTGTATAAAAGTAAGTTTTCATTTTAATCCCATCCCCAAGAATGAAATTGCTAGGTCATATGGTAAATGTATAATTATTTAAATTTATAAGAAGTAGACAAACTGGTTTTCTTTTTTTTCCCCACAGTTGTGTAATTCCATTTATATAAAATGTTCAGAATAGGCAAACCCATAAACAGGAAGTCAACTGGCAGTTGCTAGGGACACGGAGGAGAGAGTAAATGGGGAGTTCTTGTTTAATTGGTACAGGGTTTCATTTTGGATAAAAAATGGTTTGGTAGTAGACAAAGGTGACGGTTACACAACACTGTCAATGTTCAGTACCAAATACCACTGAACTGTTCTCTTTAAAATGGTTAACTTTATATTATGTGAATTTCACTTCAATACAAATTAATAATAAATACATTACAAGGAAAAATGTGAAAAGAGGCATATCAAACAAAAAAGTTTTAATGAAAAAGAAAAGATATTAAAAATTCTTTTAAACAGTAGGGTTTGGGCATGGGCTGGCTGATCTTAAAAATCCTATTCCATTCATTCATATCAAGTTGTCCAAACCTAGTAACTGGAAAGGTCCCACAATGCTGGGCTCTAAACATCTAACACAAAGACTAGAATTCTAGAATCATCTGATATTTTCCCTTTCTTGAAAATTCCATTTCCAACTGGGGTCTATGGCTTCAAGAGCCATATTTATGAATCAAAATTCAAGATACATACGCTGATACAAGAACAACAGATGGTATGAAGAATATCCAGGATATCTAGCTGTTGAAACTGCAGCCCTCTCAATGACTCTAATACTTAAGGGGTTCAAAGGATGCAGCCCCAGAAGTTTTAGATGCAAAAATAGTAACAACACAACTGAATTTGACTACATTTAAAAAACATAATTATTTCCAAATCTGAGCAGCTGAACAGTCTTCAGTAATGCCTACAGTCACTGGGATTGGAAGACTCCCGCTCCCGGGAACACTGGGGCCTTTTATGCCTATGGGATTTATCTTGGTTCCTACTTCTACTTCTATGACCATGCCCTTCACAACACCCATTGTGCCGGCTAGAATGTGTGTCTGAACTCCGTCCTCTGTCCCTATCCCTGGTCTTTTCTTCTCTTGTCTCCCTCCGACTTGAGGACTTGTGCTCGTGCTTGGGTTTCCCCTTCTTCAGCTCCCTCTCTAGGTCCTCTGCTGCACCAGAGTAGGCAGTCCTGGGGAGCTTCCGCCCCTCCCTGGGCTCTGACTTCAGAGCTCTCTCCAAGTTCTTGATGCTGTGCTTCTTAGGGCCAGGGTCATCCTTTTCCTTTACTGTCTTGCTTCTGCGTGATGAAGAGGATGGTTGCTCTGCCTGTACCTCCCGATCAGTTTTCTCTTTTTCTTTCTTTTCTTTTTGTGGTTTTTGTGCTTTTTTGTTGGTTTTTCATCTTCAGAGCTCTCAGACAAACTTGGTGAGGGGGTACGAACACCACAGCCCTTCTCCTGGAGCTCTCTGGTCACATCCATTTCTTCTGAGTCCTTAGGAGCCCTATAGTTAGACATATGATCTACTCGGATAGTTCTTCCTTTGATCTTGATCCCATTAAAATTGTCAAAGGCCAGAATTGTGCTCCTCTGGTCTTCATAGCAGAGGAAACAGCATCCTTCGGATTTCCCAGTCTTCTTGTCCCGCACGAGATTAATGTTAACAATCTCCCTATATTGTGAGAACATACAGATGATGTCCCCTTCAGTTAGTTCACAAGGAATCCCTCCCAGGAAGATCCAGGCACTGTCCTTGTACTCAAAGTGCCAGGACACCTTATCGGCCACCCCAAGCTGGACCTCTCGTTCATTCATCTCTTTGATCTTCTTCACCTTAGTTAAAGGGTTCATCTTCATGGGCTCACGCTCAGCATTCAGGTGTCAGTGCCTGGGTGAGACAAACTGGTTTTCAAGGTGGCTGTATCATTTTGCATTTCACCAGCAGTAAATGAGAGTTCCAGTTGCTTGGCAACCTCACCAGGATTGTCATTGTTAGGATTTATTTGTCCAGATTTGTTCTGTTTGTTCAAAGTTCTTATGGCTCTTCTTTTTGCCTTTCTGCATAAATCATTGAATCACTTTGTTCATATCTACCAAAATTTATTTAAGATTTTGATTAGGATTGCCATATGTGAGACTAAGTCCCTGGTGGAGAAGTACAGATTATGGTGGAGGATGCATGCGAGACATCTCTTAGATATTCCTAGAAAGAGTCAGGATAACTTTTTAAGGTGTCTTAAGTTAGCATGTACTATCTCATAGACTTCAACTTGAGACTTCTGCTTCTTGTCAGGATGGAATAACAGGTGCTGCATTTTTCTGACAAACAACTAAAATATTTGAAATAATATATTAAACAATGGTTTTTAAAACATTGGTATAAGCCAAAAAAGAATAATATCCCTTGAGAAATGGAAAACAAATGAGGTGACTGTTATGCTTGCCTCAGTTTATTGCTTATGATGCATTTTCTGGTTTTAGTCATGGAAGAAAAACACAGAGAGAGCCCAAGTCTTCAACTGAAGCGATGCAGCTAGGAATCTGGGGATGCAAAGTCTGCTAAAATTTGAAGAACAGGGGAGAATCCTGCATGGGAGAGAATGCCAGAAATCTCCAGGCAGTACTTCTCAAATGTTCCAAAGAGAGCTAATCAACACATTGCATGCAAGAAAACTCCCTGTGGCAGGAGAAAGAGCCTCATAGAAAGATTAGCATAAACGGTAGCTGGTGTTCACACAGAGTCTGAAAAGTGCCTGTGGCCACCAACTGAAATGGAAAACTGCTAAATTCTGAAGGCACTGGGTTAAATACTCAAAGGATCTTGCCCGAGAAAAAGAAAATAATTAGGCTTAAACTTGGGATTGCTCTGGCCCTGCCTAACAAATCAGGAAAGCGAGATCCAAAAAATCAAGTGGTTCCACAATAACTAATTGCATCTGAGAACAAAGCACAAGAAGACTTACAGAAATATGGCAATATCTGGCACCCAACAAGATAAAATTCTTAATGTCTGGCATCCAATAAAAAATTAACAGGTATGCAAAGAAGCAGAAAAATATGACTTATATTCAAAAGCTCAGTCAATCAAAATGAACCCCAAACTTAAACAGATATTAGAAGACAAAGGTATAAAGGCAGTTATTATAACTGTATGCCAGATGTTCCAAAAGCTAGAGGAAAGATCAAGCAAGTTAAGTAGATACATGACATAAACAAGAAATCCAAATCATATTTCTAGAGATAATAGCTATACTTGGAGATTTTAAAAAATTCACTAAATAGAAATTATTGGCAGAGTAGATATTGCATAAGATATAACTAGTAAACTATGCAATGAAAAACAGAAAAAGAAAAAATGTAGAAAAAGAGGGGAATCACTGAGACGTGGAATAATTTTTATTGAAAACTGCAGAAGAAATAAGAAAGGATAAGACAAAAACATTTGAAGAAGTGATGGCTGAATTTGTATCAAATTTTATAAAGACCAAAACCTAACAGATCCAAGATGATCAATGAACTCCAAACACAAACGACATGAAGACAACTACACCAAAGCACATCGGAGTCAAATTCTCTGAACTGTAATAAAGAGGCTATCTCAAAAGAAGGCAGAGAATAAAAGACATGTTAAGTAGAGAGTAATAACGATAAGAATTACATCACATTTTTCAAGAGAAACAAAGTAGAATATTTCTCAAATACTCAAAAAATGCTATCAAGAAAAAATAAATTCAAGAATTCTATAGTCAGTGGAAACAACTTTTAAATAGAAACTTGAAATAAATACATTTTTAGACATACAAAAGCTGCAAGAATTAATCACCACTAGAGACAGACTATGAGAAGTGCTAAAGGAGACCTTCAGACATAATAAAAATACAGATGAAATGCACATAAGGAATAAAAAGTACTGAAGGCTGGGCACAGTGGATCACACCTGTGATCCAAGCACTTCGGGAGGCCAAGGCAGGAGGATTGCTTGAGCCCAGAAGTTTGAGACCAGCCTGGGCAATGCAGTGAGACCTCATCTCTCTTAAAAAAAATTACAAATAAAAAACAATTAACCAGGCACAGTGGCACACCCCTGTAGTCCCAGCAGCTACTTGAGAGGCTGAAATGAGAGAAGCTCCTGAGCCCAGGAGGCAGAGGTTGCAGTGAGCCAAGAGCTCACCACTGCACTACCTCTAGGTGACAGAATGAGAGCTTGCCTCAAAAAAAAAAAAAAAAAAAAATTACTGGAAATAGTAATGTGTGTAAGAATAAAAGTACTTTTTCTTTTTCTTTCCTGTTTATTTAAATCTCTGTAAAGGATAACTGACTATTACAGAATAAATAATAATGTATCGTGGAGTTTAAAATATGCAGAAATAAAATATATGCCCATGATAGCACAAAAGACAGGAAGGCAGAAATCGAAGTATACTGTGGTAAGGTTCCCTTACAATATGTGTCATGGTTAACATCACTTGAAGTTAAGGTTAAACAGATATACTATAGATAAGTAAAAAATGTACAGTACAGTAAGTTAAATATGAATATTAAATATCCCCAATCAATTGCTAAAGTAACAAAAAATCATATCTAATAAGCCAATAGAGAAGATAAAATGGAGCTACAAAATAATCAATTGACAGAAGGCTGGAAAAGAAGGAGAAAAAGGACAGATAAAACAAATAGCAATATGGTATATTTAAATCTAACCACATAATTAATCACATATAATTAAAAAGTTTTAATATGTTCATTAAAAGACAGCTTTCAGATTGGCTGGAAATGCAAGACTCATCTATAAGCTGCCTACAATAAATATATTTCATTTACTTTTTATAATTTCAACTTTTATTGTAGATTCAGGAGATACAAGTGCAGGTATATTGCATGATGCTGATGTTTAGGATATGAATGATTCCCATCACCCATATAGTGAGCATAGTATCCAACGATTAGATCTTCATACCATGCTCCCGTCCCTCCCTCTCGTCTCTTTTAGTCCCTGGTATCTATTGTTGCTATCTTTATGTCCATGAGTACCCAATATTTACCTTTCATTTATAAGTGAGAACATACAGTATTTGGTTTTTTGTTCCTGTGGATTAATTTGTTTAGGATAGTAGCCTCTAGCTGCATCCATATTGATGCAAAGTATTCCGTGGTGTCTGTGTACCACATTAAGAAACAGATTTTAAATATATAGACATAAACAGGTTACAAGTAAAAGGATAAAAAGCTATGTACCATGTTAATATTATTCTAAAGAAAACTGGAGGCCAGGAGCAGTGGCTCATGCTTGTAATCCCAGCTCTTTGGGAGGCTGAGGCGGGCAGGTCATGAGGTCAGGAGATCGAGATAATCCTGGCCAACATGGTGAAACCCTGTCTCTACTAAACATACAAACAATTAGCTGAGCATGGTGTCACACACCTGTAGTCCCAGCTACTCAGCAGGCTAAGGCAGGAGAGTGCTTGAACCCAGGAAGCAGAGGTTGCAGTAAGCCAAGATCATGCTCTTGCACTCCAGCCTGAGCAACAGAGTGAGATTCCATCTCAAAAATTAAAAAGAGAGAAAAAACCTGGAGTGGATATGCTAATATCAGACAAAGAAGACTTCACAGAAAAGTAAAGTAAGCTGAAAATATAAGATTATTCTATAATGATAATGACCTCAAATTATCTGGACATAAAAACTCAATTCTGTGTACTTATAAAAGGGCTTCAAAATAAATGAAGCAAAAACTAATAGAACTGCCAGAAGCAATCGAGAAATCCACAGATGTAGTGATAGAGTTGAATATAACTGACAGAACAAGTAGATTATCAGTAAGGATATATAAACTTTGAACAATACCATAAAGTAACTTATCTCATTAACATTTATATGATACTGCATTCAAGAACAGCAGAATATATATTTCTTTCAAATGTTCATGAAACATTTATCAAAATAGAACATGTTTTGTAAAATCTCAAGTTCTCTGACCACAATAGAAATAAATTAGAAATTAATAACAGGAAATTTTGTCAAAAATTCCTGAGTATCTGGAAACTATACAACAATGTTTAACTCATGGGCTGTTTATGAGATCAAAAAGAAATGAGAAGATATGTTATACTAAACTGTAATGAGAACACATAATATAAAAAATTGTGGGATACCAGTGAGGCAGTAATTAGAGGAATTTATAGCACTCAATGTCTATATTATTAGATAAATAAGAAAGGTCTTAAATCACAGACCTCAACATCCACCTTAAGTAGAAACAATAGTAAGTTAAACTTTAAATAAGTAGTAAATAGGACAAATATTGGAGTGGGAAATGAAATAATAAATTAAAAGTTGATTATTTGAAAAGATTGATGAACTTGATAAACATATATCCATATTTATCAGGAATAAAAAAGATACAAATTACCAATATCAAAAAAAGAGGTAACATAACTACAGATTCTACAGATATTAAATGGATAATAAAGCCATATTATAAAGAGATTTATGCCAATAAAGTTGACAACTTTAAGAAAATGAATAAATCCCCTGGAAGACACAAACCACTAAAGCTCTCTAAGAAGAAAAGATAGCCTGAATAGCCCTATATTTATCAATCTAGTTGAATACATAGTAAAAACTCCAAACCTTCTTGACTTCATTGGTAATTTTTTACCAAACATTTAAGGAAGAAATAATACCAATTCTGCACAAACTTTTCCAGAAGCGGAAGCATGTGGCATTCTTCTCCAGCTCATTTTGTGTAGACAGCATTACTCTTATGCTGAAACCCAACAAATATATTACAAAAATAGAAAACTGAGCAATATCCTTCATGAACATAAATGCAAAATTCTTAAACAAACTTTAGTAAGTCAAATTAAAACAATATAGATTTTAGAAATATGTTATGGCCAATTCATGATTTTCCTAAGCAGGGTTG